GCAATAATTAATTACTATGTTGGTCATTATACTCGTCAAAACGATACGACCATAATAATTTGGTTCGATTATCGTCAAGACATACTTTTTGACCAAGGATTTAGTCATTATAAATTGATATGATTTTTTATGCTTATAATTTAGCATCTCATTTAAATAATTAAATTTATTGCGAAAAATATTACCTCAGGCCAGGATTCGAATTGGTACAACACCCTTCACGGAAAGTATGCCTTGACGATAATCGAACCAAATTACGGTCGTCTTGACGACTATAATGACCAATATAGTAATAAATTATTGCCAGTTAGGTTGATTCATACATCTTAAGCTTTAATAAATATACGGATATAACTTAAAAAGTTTACCATGCACACTCTTTCAAATATCGCTATTATAATAAAAAATAGCACGTTATAATAAATCCAAATGACGATGTAAGAAATATAAAAAAGCGACCTGTTTGAGTGTGATCATAGCTACACGAAACCAGAGTAAAGAGAACCAAATTGTAGCCAGTAATTAACCAGAAATCTAATTACTAGTCAGTTACATTAAATTAAGTTAAATTAATTAGTTAAAATATTTCTAGATAAAAAATATAAGTGTTGTGAAACACTCTATATCTGATCATCGTATCTAGACTGATTAAGCTTCGGCAGTGTCTCGCGCCAAGTATACGCGAAGCGAGACCGCACCGTGACTCTTTTACGCGACCCGGCCGGTGGGCCTGTGCACATCAGGTGCTTTTCCACTGGTCATTGATGTCTTCAAGGTACACCCTTGCTAACGACGAATCCGACATCGACGTCGGGAAGCTCGTTCGTCACGATTATGCACCGAACGCCGAAGTCGCTGTACCAAAGATACCTTCTTGATTTGTGAAAGCGATCAGAACGATCGTGACATTTTCATCGATAATTTAGTAGATCACGCTACGCAACACAATTTTTACCCTCTCGGCGGAAACAAGCAATCTTAATTGAAAAAAATCTCAATGTACATAGAATATAAATAAAGTTTATTCTGTAAGTAATCACGATACTGTTTAATTGTTACTTGAATATGCGTGATATTACGGTTCGCAAATTCTAATTCTGCTTCCTTATGTCGATTACAGCCACTTAATTAATTAAGTTTTATGATAAAGATCAACCCAGAAGATGGAATACAGAAAGGACCTTTAAGTTTGTTATGGCGCCGCTGCAGTGTTATCGATCAAGAAGATCCGCAAAACAATGTTCTGTTGACGAGTTCCTAAAGTTGCTTAATGACTATCTATTGTCAAAATTAAAGTAATATTTATATATGTACGAAACAAAATAAAACAATACTACTATTTCAGCGCGAGTTCCATTATTTTCTTTCTGCAAATTAATTTTTGTATAAATCAATTTATCCATGCGGAGATTAAAAAGGTGCTTTTTTTAAAAGAAACAAGTTATAAGAATTTAGCGATGAAATCGAGCCTGTATTGTCGCTAAAGGATGATGGGTAAAATGGACAGGTATTTGCCTAAAAAGTGCAACTTAATTAAATTATATCATTAAAAAATTAATATTTTAAAAAGTCGCCAAGGTCTAGTATGAAAATCTGTTATATATTAAAAAATTATGTTGTACAATATTGTTTTAACATATCCAATTAAAAATATAATATAATTGTGCATTATAACATAAATAGTGCATATTACTTAGTGCATATTACGAAACAAATACGCATGTACATCAGAATCACGCATATTTAATATAATGCTCATTCTTCATTCAACAAAATTGTACTTCACAATCAGGTTTTCTATTTCTTATAAGAATTATAAAAATTGAAAAACAATGACAAGTTTACAATGCCATTAAGAAATGACGCGATAGAAAAATATTTCACACTTATATTACCGCAGTTAAGTATGAAACCTTGCGAACTGCCCACCGTTAGGAATGCCATATGTGCCTGTTTTAATAAAAGCAATATTTAATATCATCAAGTATATCGACAAATTAAATTCAGAGCTTACCATTTGTATAAGAGTAATCCACTTCTTGAATGGTAGAAGTCTTCGTCGCATATTCGATCCAAAAGTGCTCAGACAATAATAGGAATACATTATCACGTGTACAGAACAATTGAGTGCTATGATAGTCATGAGGAAACTGTGCGGAGAGTGTCTGAGCGTCGTCCAAGCATAGATAACCGTGGAAATATGATGGTACGTGTGCAAAAATGAGACCTGACGATCTTTTTTCCTCAATACAAATATTATGGTTTCAATGAGATCAATTATTTTAAGCAACAGTGTCCACCACATAATTTCAAGTTGCTGCAATAAGAAAATTATATCTATTTGCGAAATCGTTGTTATCTCAATTCTGTTAATTCTTACAGAGTTATATCTATTCTCCAAATTCACATGTTCAAATTTATCAATATTATTGCTTATGTCGTATGAGTAACAATGATTTATTATATAATTCTCAAATATTTAAAGTGTCCTAATTTAAATCCAAATTATTCCTTATTTTTGACAATTTAAAAGCTTAGCATACCTTTTCACTGTTACGACCGCAAATTTTATCAAGTGACTCGCAATATCTCCATACGGCAGTGAACGGTCTACCATCGGTCATGACGTTAAACACTAGCCAAAAATTTGCAACAATTTGAAAAAGATTGTAACATTGTATAAATCTTTTCAACGAATACGGTTGTCTGTTTTCCATAAATTGCGGTCCAGTAAAGTAGACGACGTATAAATAAGCCAGCAATATAAAAATAATTGGCATCGGCGAAGATAACAATAGCCATTCCATCGTTCGTGCATCTGTGAAATCTATATAATATGAGTTAACACATAATTTTGAGGAAAAATAATAAGAGGAATTTTTGTAGTGTCCCTTCTAAAAAAAATTTTAAATCTTTAACATTTCTTTGATATACATATATATATTTAGAACTTACTAGCTATTATTTCTGAATTATAATGTTTAGATTCCATAGTTGAGCCACAGTTTCACTTTAAGTATGTTTCTCCTAGCAATGCCAAAATAAAACTGAGCAGTTCCGAAAAAAAAAAACACCGACTTAAAAACTATTAATGTTATTTATTCACGCATTTACATATTTATGGCTGTTATATATTATGCATATGTATGTGTATTTGTATGTAAACGTAGCAGGTAGCTTCGTAACAGATAGGTTCGTAGGTCGAGTAAATGACAATTCTTTTTTATACGTCGATTTCTTTTACTGATGTATATAAAATAGTGCAATATTTAATTCTATATATTATAATTTCAAAATATAAAATTACGACTCTTGTTATCATAATTATGTATCAAAAAGTTATTTTTAATTTTATTTTAATATATTCTTTGGTGGAGTTCCGAAAACGGTCTACCTCTGATTTCGATAAAACTTTGATGTAAAAAGCTTTATTTCGGGTTAAGATAAAAGTCTTTAAAGGAAATTTTGGCGACTCCTATAACAAAACCATTTTTTAAGATAAAATGATCAAAAGTATAGGAAGATTTTAACAATTCTACAGGATGTTATAAGTTGTTACAAATCACCATTATATAAACACTTCTCTCCACTTTACTTTCGTGATCTTTCTGTTCAAGTCAACACAATCATACTTTAGGAGTTTTTATGTTAATTCAAAAGGCATTGAAAACATGTTCCACATTGGATTTCTAACTTTTCACGTGAAGAGATGTCCATCCTACCGCACCTCCTGCTTACAGGGCAAATACAAATATATTATTATTATTGTGCACCGTACACTGTGCATGCAGTCTTGTACTGACCAAACACGCAGGAATATCCTTGTTCAGATTTTTTTACAAGAGGCAAAATTATTTTTTATATTATATATTTATATGTATATAGTAATAAGAAATAATAGAAAATCAAATTTTATTTAAACCCATAGAATTCATGCGTGATGTAAAAATGTGCACTGATTTTAATCACATACTGTTTTATCTACGAATAATGTTGTCACGCATTTACGCATTCACAGATATAAAAAATTGTAGAAGTAGATGCGTGTATTAAAAAATCCGTATACACACACACACACACACACACACACACATACTTCCCGACATTTTCTACTAATATGATTTCTCGACATTTTGGAACATTCTAAACCTATTTCTATTAAAATCTCAAAAAAATTTTTTTTTACCATCACAAAGCTTCCTCTATAAGGAAGCAATATAAATTTTTATGAAAATGAGAGTAAATAAAAGGATTTTTCGACCTATGTTTTAAAAACTTTCTTGTTCCACATTTAATTTCCTATAAGACCTTGAAGTTTCAATGACCTGACTCGGAAGACTTTGTACTTATAGTAAAATAGACGTATATTATTACACATGTATATATTCGTTGCTCTTTTAACCTCTTACATTGTACGATAATCATTTCCTGTTTAAAATACTTAAAATAATTTCACAGATTTCAAATCACAGATTTGGTTGGCTTATGGTTCAGTTCGTAAACGAAGTTACTTATAGGGTTTTTCGACCTATGTTTTAAAAACTTTTTTGTTCCACATTTAATTTCCTATAAGACCTTGAAGTTTCAATTACCTGACTCGGAAGACTTTGTACTTATAGTAAAATAGACGTATACACTGTAAAAAATTTAATGTCCCAGAAAGTCCACTCTAAATTTTGTGTTAAAATAACTCATGCATTGTGTTATTTTTTACATTTAGAAATGTTATATCGACTAAAATAACATTTCTAAATGTAAAAAATAACACAATGCATGAGTTATTTTAATACAAAATTTAGAGTGGACTTTCTCTGGGACATTGAATTTTTTACTGTGTATTATTATACACATGTATATATTCATTGCTCTCTTAACCTTACATTGTACGATAATCATTTCCTGTTTAAAATACTTAAAATAATTTCACAGATTTGGTTGGCTTACGGTTCAGTTTGTAAACGAAGTTACTTATAGGCAGATATATAAACATTTTCTCGCAAACTCTACTTACATTTTGCTCATCTACATCAATCGGCACAAAGCTGACATCGATTTCAAGTGTTTTAATACCTTCATTTTGCGTTGCTTTGCTAGATTATTATTATTTATATCAACTTTATCTTAAAAGTAATAAAATGACAATTGATCCAGCTAAGTCGATTCCTGCGTTTTACGCTGGACAAAGTATATTTCTAACAGGTCCAACAGGATTTCTGGGTAAGGTGTTTATCGAAAAAGTGTTACGATCTTGTCCAGATGTTCGCGAAATATTTCTGTTGATGCGTCCGAAAAAGGGATTAAGTATCAATGAAAGGCTCGAAAAAATATTAAATTTACAGGTAAGTGGGAAGAGAAACTTTTACAATTACGCATTTTTTTAAGATTTCTAAAATTACAATGTTGTACCTGTGTATCACATTTAAATGCATAGTAGAAAGAATTTTCTTTGTAAATACTATTAAAACGTCTAATTACTAAAAAGAATTATTTTTAACAATAATAGTTTATAAGTAGTTTATAATAAAAGATTGGTATACAGGTAAAGCAAAATGTTGTTGAGAATGTCATTAAATATTTTATTCTGTTATTATAAACTTATTAAAAATATATACCTATCTTCGAATTTTTTATTATAAAAAAGATTTTGTTATATAAATTGTAATGTTCTTTTATTTCAGTTATTTGACAAATTGCGCGAAAAACAACCTTCTAATTTCAAAAAGTTAATTCCAATTTCTGGCGATGTTAGTGAGAAGGGACTAGGTTTGTCGGCTGTGGACAAACAAATACTAGTTGAAAGAGTGACTATAGTAATTCATGCAGCGGCGAGTGTCAGATTTAATGACACTTTAAAATATGCCATATTTGTCAATACTAGAGCAACGAGAGATATCTGTATTTTAGCTCAAGGTATGAAGAATTTAAAAGTAAGTAATTTTTTATACTTAAAAAGAGTAACAGAGATTGTGCATTTGTATTCATAAATAATCTATTGCATCACATGATATATATATATATATATTTTTTTTTTTTTTTTTTTTAGATAATGTCCTTACTCAAAAACTCATATCTCAATCACATTTCCCAAATAATATTATGTCGTATTTTTTAAATTTAGTAACAATTTAAATAAAACAAATTTGGAAGAATGTATATTATATATGATTGAAATATCATAATATGTCAGGATTTATAGTATAAATAAAATATATATTGTTATTATACAAACTTTTATATACTACAGAAAATTAAAAAAAATTCCTCTTTTCTGTCAAAGGCATTAGTGTATGTTAGCACGGCATTCACCCACGTGAATAATTTATTCACTGAAGAAAAAGCGTACCCGCCAATAGCTGATTGGCAGAAAATGATAGATGTGGCCGAGTCATTGGATGAGCATACTCTCAAAGTTTTTACAGCTAAGTAAGCTATATAAACGGAAAGAGTAAGCATAAATTTTTTATAATTAAATATATTAAAAAAATTTGTTTTTTTTTATTAATTTTTTATTTACATCGTATTTTTAATTAATGATATTTATGTATTTAATTTTGTGTACGCTTGAATTTACGTAGATGTTTGGATTACGCACCCAACACGTACATTTTTTCGAAAAATCTAGCGGAGAGTATAATACAGGAATATTCTTCCTTCTTACCTTGCGCGATTGTGAGACCTCCTATTGGTATGTGGCTTTTCTTTAATTGTAAAAAATAAATTTTATCTTTAATGCGTAACTGCCGAATATGCCGAATATGTCAAATATGCAACATTTTTTACATTTCCTATTTTACCCTATACTGCTTTATAAAATATTTGTACGAATAAGAGTTTTTTTTTTGAAAATAATTATATTTATTTTTGTATTTATGTAATATAATTAATCAAATATGTCTTATCAAACATGTTTTTACTTGTAATAGCTTAAAGTTTTTTATAAAAAATGAAATTATAATAAAAGTTAAAAATGTATACTATATAGAGCCTGCCTCCCTTTTCTCATTTCGGTTGACATGTGTCAAAATATGCGGCAAAGAATAATTTAATCATACTACTAAATGTATACATAGATATAGATATAGACATATTATCAGAATTTATTAATGGCCAGAATAATTTAATCCACAAAATTTATCTGATATCAAATATCATTATCAACTTTAGTGACATCATCGATAAAAGAACCAGTGCCAGGATGGATAGATAACACTTATGGTCCAATAGGACTTTATATTGGTGGCGGAAAAGGTGTAATACGAGTAGGGTGTTGTAATAAATACGTTCATGAAAATGTAATACCAGTAGATATTGTCGTCAAAGTTATGCTAGTCGTATCTTGGAAGCGTGGATTAACCAGGTATGACTATCAGTATATTTTTGCATGCTTTCTCTCTCTCTCTCTCTCTCTCTCTCTCTCTCTCAATACACTTTCCTTCTTAAATTATAAATGCGAAAGCTTTCTTTTTTTATTTAAAACTAGCTCAATCCATGTTTGCTATATA